AAACATGGCTTTTGTTTAGGTAAAGTAAATAGAGAAATTTTATAATAGCAAATCATTGTTCTACCAGCCAAAAGATAAATGATAAAGGATGAAGATACCTTTTAAAGCCTTGGGAGGAAAACAATATTAGCAACTAGCTCAACATATCACAATAATAAATATTAAACAATCAATCAATAGGAAGCTGCTTTATTTTCTTCTGTACTCCAACACTCCAGTGAATAGCTGTTCAGCTGGAGCCTTTAAGGAATTTAAATTCACATTTAGGGTTTATCTGCCAAGCTAATATGTTCAACAAAATCAACATCTGAGACTTCGCTTGGCCTAATTTAGAAATATAACAGAGGATGGTAAATGCATGCAAACTGAGCAACTGGTCGTATTGAGGGTTTAAAAAAATATATACAACATAGTTTTAATTTTGAAATCAAATGATGCATTTCATTGGGCAAATCTTCTGCAAAAGACCTCTTTAAACGGTTAAAAAGCAAAGATGTCACTTTAAGGACTAAGGTGCCTCACCCAAGCCATGGTGTTTTCAATTGCCTCATATGCATGTGAAAAGCTGGACAATGAATAAGGAAGACCAAAGAACCGATGCCTTTAAATTACAATGTTGGCAAAGAATATTGAATATACAATGGCTTGCCAGAAGAACAAACAAATCTGTCTTAGAGGAAGTATAGCCAGAATGCTCCTTAGAAGCAAACATGGCAAGACTTCGTCTCACATACTATGGACATGTTATCAGAAGGGACCAATCCCTGGGGAAGGACATCATACTTGGTAAAGTAGAGGGTCAGTGAAAAAGAAGAACACCCTCAACGAGATGGATTGACACAGTGGCTGCAACAATGGGCTCAAGCATAACAATGATCATGAGGATGGCACAGGACCAGGCAGTGTTTCCTTCTGTTGTACACAGGGTTGATATGAATCACAACTAACTCGGCAGGACCCAACAACAACGTAACACAGAAAACATGACCCAGTAGAACAATGTGCCAAAGACAGCTGTAGCACTTGGAGATTACTATACTTCAGACTAAAGAGATACCTACTGTGGTCATGCAAATCTCTTTGATTACCACTTCTCACTCGTTCACTCTCTCTTACTCACATACTTGATCCATAATCCCTGTATGTTTTTCACATACATTGTCAGGTTCATTTATAGAGTTATTTTCTTCACAAACGTTTTTCTTCAAAGTTTTCTTCACGATTTCTCTGCTTTCTTCCTTCTGTGCCTCAGTTCCCTCATTTTAAAGGCAATGATTATGACTACTTCAGAGAGGAATTAGAAATGAATGATACAATGTTTATCAAATGGCTTAGCACCCTACCTGATTCATGTGTTTAATGCTACCTTGTATTTTCTCCTCATGGCTTTGTTTTCATTTTCTTATCTTCTTATTCCTTACCCATATTTGCATTAGAAGTCACTATTTATAAATAATTACATATATGTTCATATGTATTTATAAATATCAAAATATTTAGAATTGTTATAGAAATATATTTGTGAGGATAGAGATGCTTGTGTAACAGCATGCATATCTAATTCAGTAAACATACATCAACTGCTACATTAAAGACACAAAGGCGTTTGAGACTTAGTAGATTAATTTAAATTTATCATATAGAATATGATAAATGCCAAAAAGATATTTTAAAGCAATTGCAATAGGTGCACAGAGGAGAAGTTCTTCTGCTTAAAAGTAAGAAGGAAGATGTCATTCTAGCTGAAAATGTATGGCTGAGTTGGATATTATCATGTGGTGTCATGGGGAAGAAAAACTCCATCCAGAAGAAACAGCAAGAGCAAAGGTGCAGTGAGTTGAATACTCAGGATATGTTTGGGCAGTGATAGGGAATAAGGCTAGAAAGATAAGCTGAGCCAGACTGAAAGCGTATAGAATATTTTTCTTTCTATTTCTTTGTTCGGGGATATGACTTACATAGTATCTAGCTTGAATAAACAGCTGATATTTGTATGATTGTTTCTTCAGTAAATGGCAAAATCATGTCACCATTACAGGGAAGACAGGAAGTTACTCTTCATCATCTATTAGCATGACTCAAGACGACCTCTCTGCTTTCTTCACTCTTTGTTCATTGCCTCCTAAGTATTAGATACTTATCTTTGGTAAATTTCAGCTCTGGACTCCAATTCACTCTTTACCACTGTTACCAAAAGAATCTTCCTAAGGTAAGATGAATCAAATAAAGTTTCTGCTCAGAACTCTAAAATGGTTTATTCTATTGCCTATTAAATTAAGAATAAACTCTTTAGCACAGTATATAAAGCCCTCCTCCTTTATTCTTTTATTAATTCTTTCTCTCTTTTATTTGGCAAACATTAATGGACACTGTTATTCTAAGTGCAGAGAATACAATAATGGGTAAGGTGTTTAGTCACATGAATAATTGGACATTAAGTCATAATATGACAATCAGTAATATGCCAGAATATGAGAAAGAAATGACGATGAAGTGTGTTGTTGGCTTTATATACCGAGTTGCTGATTTAGTAATTTATATCTCCAGCCCATACCTTTCCCCTAAATGCCAGTTTCATATATCTAGCATCTATAAAGCATGTCTACTTAAATGTCTAACAAGTATCCAAAAGATATATGAAAGCAAGCCCCTAATCTACCCCCTCAAACCTATTCTTTCCCCATTCTTCTCCATTTCATTATATGGCAATTACATCCTTCTGGTGCCTTCTGGTGCCTCAGACCAATAGCTTAGAGTCTTCCTTGATTCTTCTCTTTTCTTCACACCTCATATTCAATCTATTACCCAATTCTGTTGGCCCTACCTTCAAGATGTATCTAGAATCTAAGCACTTCTCACCACCTCCACTGCTGAAATCCTCATTCATCTTTCATCTGGATCATTGCAATAGTCCACCTCATCTCCCTGCTTCAGCTTTTTGACCTCCTTCAGTCTTTGTTTAACATGACAGTCCTACTGATCTTCTGAAAATGTAAACCAGAGCATGTCACTCTTACGTTCTAAACCCTGAAATGACTTTCAAGATACTATCTTACCATCTCCTCTCTGACTTCAACATTAACAATTATTCCCTCTCACTACTCTCCAGCAATACTAATCTCCTTGCTGGCCACTTGCTGGAATTCTCTTCCCTTGCAAATAACTATATATCATGCTCCTTCTTCACTTACTGGTCTTTGTTAAAAAATCACCTTATCAATAAAACTTTATGTGTACATTATTTAATATTGCAACCTCATCCCCAACTAGCACTCCCTAGCCACTTTCCCTAATGTACATTTCTAGTCATTTATCACCATACCAAGAAGCCCTGGTGGCGCACTGGTTAAAGCGCTCAGCTGCTAACCAACAGTTTAGTGGTTAGAACCCACCTGCCACTCTGTGTGAGAAAGATGTGGTAGTCTGCTTTTGTAAAGATTTACAGCCTTGGAAACCCTATAGGGCACTTGTACTCTGTCCTATAGGGTCACTATGAGTCAGAATCAACTCAAAGGCAGTGGGTTATCACCATACTATTTGAGATACTGAATCTTTAACTTATTTTTTTTTTTTACTGTCTATGTTCTCACTAGAAGATAAGCTCCATGAGGGCAAGATTTTTTTTCTTCTTTTGTTCACTGCTATGTTCCAGTGCTTAGAAAAGTGCTAATACATTGTAGGTAATAATATCTATTTGTTGAATAAATGAATGAGTGTGGTGAGGAGGCAGTGTTGCAAACAGCTTAGTGTTCCTAAAAAATAAATTTGGGGCATGGAGACGAAAAGGATGACACTACAGAGGAAGAAAGGGGTGAGATAATATAATACCTTGGGTACCATGCTAAGAAGCTTAGATTTCATATAGTGGTCAATGCTGAGCTTATATGGAGTAGCGGGGTGAGTCGGTCAGATCTGTACTTCAAAGGTCACTCTGAAAGCAACATAAAGCATACTTTTGAAAAGGAACTAAGAGACTATCATAATACCTTAATCAAGAGGTGATGGTGGCCTGAACTAACATAATGAAGAGCAGAGATGAATATACAGGATTTGGTGACTGGGAGGGAAATGTTGACTTAAAAAAAGGGTTACGGATGATTCCTAGGTTTTTAGCTTCGAATACGTGGTAGATGATTGTACCACCTACCAAGACAGACAATGCTAGAGGAAGAGTATATACCAGTAAGATATGATGCACTGAGGTCCCATTTGGAAATTTTGAGTTTGAGGGGTTCTGTGGCACATCCAGGTGATGTTTACCTATTGTTGTTGTTGTTAGATGCCATCGAGTCAGTCCGTGACTCACAGCAACCCTATGCACAACAGAATGAAATGTTGCCTGGTACTGCACCATTCCCATGATTGGTTTTGGATCAGACTCTTGTGATTCACAGGGTTTTCACTGGCTGATTTTTGGAAGGAGATCACCAAGCCTTTCTTCCTAAGTCACCTTAATCTGGAAGCTCCACTGAAATCTGTTCAGCATCATAGAAACGCAAGCCTCCAATGACAGACAGATGGTAGCTGTGCATGAGGTGCACTGGCCAGGAATTGAACCTGGGTCTCCTGCATGGAAGGTGAGAATTCTTCCAATGAACCACCAATGCCATCTTGTTTAACATTAGGTGGCTGGAAATAGAAGAATGAAGCTTATGGTAGATATATGGCATAAATTTTGAAGTCATCAATATATGAGAATAGATAAAACAGTAAGAGCAGATGAAATCAATAGGGATTATTGGATAAACTCAGAATAGTGGAGGACTTTTAACAGACCAGGGGGAAAAAAAACTGAAAAAGGAGTCAGAGAGTTATAAGGAAATCCAGGCATCTGCAGAGAGAAGAGACTGAACGATATCTGGAACACATATGGCACCAAGTGAGAGGTGTTTAGGACAGGATAAACTTGTGCATATTTGTAACATAATTATATACTATATGAAAAATTATCTATTTGCATATTGAGTATTTTTGAAAATTCAAAATTGCTTAAAATGTACCTGTATATTCCACTGAGGGAAAGTAGCATTCAGATGAAGTTTCAGAAAGGTGAAACACAAATTTTTCAAGTAATTCAACCAAAGCTGTAATAAACAGAATAATTAGGATACTCAAAGTCAAGAATAATATGTGATATTACATTTGTATATCACAGACCAGAAGACAAAAGTTATCTGAACTTCTTTACAGTTACACTCTATGAGGGTCCAATTCAAAACACACAGCATTTTGGTATTCATAACATTTCAGATTTAAATTAAATTTTAAATAGCTTCACTGAGAACCATTTCAATGTAAAACTGGAAAAGAATCATCTTTTATCTTTAGATCCTCTAAGGATTACTTCAGAATTTGCTAAATGATTTAATTCAAAAAGAAAATTATCACTAATTAGCCTATCATACCTTATTATCATTATTCACAAATACAGAGAAAAAAAATTACCTGGACTCAAAGACCAGGATAAATGCATAGCTCACGTCCTTTCCAAAACCAGCACATATTATGTGTTTTATATACTTTCAACTGATGTTATCTGTTCAAGGCAACAAGATCAAAAGTAAACTTGCCCTATCTGACTTAGAAGTGACAAAATGATTCTTTTCCCGGTTGGTTTGATAATGCCATATAGATAACGATACTGCCTTTGCATATATTACCACCAGAATAGATATAACCGGGTGGACTATAATTAATATGCAACAAAGAAGTTTTTTTTCCATCTCTTTTTTACTGAAAATGAATATATCTGTGTAGTAACTGATATGTTTACACATACAGTTTATACATATAGTGAGTAAGCTTTAGTCAACTTATAAAATTGTACCCTAGTGACATTTAGGATATTAACTATGATCTATATTAACAAATCATTTGAGAGATTAACTATAGTCATAGAACAGTGCTAATGAATCCACATTTCGTAGTTGAAACCATGACTCCGATCTCATTCGCAATCTCTCTAACTAGCCAACTATAAGAGTAGCTGAACTGCATTAATTACTAGAGTAGCTGTTTATCTCAGTATGACCAACAGCCTCACTCATTGTCATCTGACTGAATATTACATTATCTATAATTCAAGGAAATTAATTCATGTGATGAAATAATTCTCAACTTTAAAACTAAATTACATCTCAGATAGTACTACTCAGAAAGTAAAGTACAGAAGATTGTTTTGTCTGAAGTGGGAATTTTATTTTAAATGACAAGCCTGGAGTTTCTACAAACAATTTTAAATTACAGACCTTTTCCCTTGTTTAATCATATCTATTCCCTGGGATGGGAATGTAACATTAATAGACTAGAAAGCCAAAATCTGTAACACTTACATACTAATAGGACATGGACTTTCTGCTACAAGGAAAAGCTGAAGGCAGACTGTTTAGGAATACCTGGGCATTGTCTGTGCTTACTCCCTTAGCCTTGCCATCTTAACAACAGCTCGTTCAAAAATTAGAAAGCTCAATGTTTATAAACATTCAAAATTTCTCCTGTATCCACTTGAAGTCATTTTTTAAATCTTTTATTAATGCTAGCATATCATCCAATCACATGAAAATTACAGCAACAGAGTTCAATTTTCTCCATTCAAACATCTTGCATGCTCTTCCTTGAACACTTGCTTCTTCGAGAACTTATCATGGTTTTTATCTCCATACCCCATGAAGTTAGAACCCCTCTAATGAGTTTTAATCCCTTTACAATCTTACCCCATTCAACTTTAGCCACTCTTCAAACAAATTATTATAAGAATAGTCAGTCCAATTATTCTTCTCAATGTTCTCAAGTAGTTTATATTCATTATTTCCTCTGTACCTTAATTATAGATTCAGAGGAACTTGCAAGGATAGCACAGAGGTAGAGAACTTCCTTTAGCCATTCTTTTAGGATAGGTCTGGTTTAGTGGTAGAATTTTGCCTTCCACGAGGGAGACCAGGATTTGATTCCCGGACGATGCACTTGTGTGCAGCCACCAGTTGTCTGTCTTTGGGGGCTTGAGTGTTGCTGTGATGCTGAACAGGTTTCAGCAGAGCTTCCAGACTAAGACAGACTAGGATAAACAGTCTGGTGATCTACTCCCAAAAATCAGCCAGTAAAAACCCTATGGTTCACAAAGATCTAATCTACAATTGATCATGGGGATGGTGCAGGACCGAGAAGCATTTCATACTGTTGTGCATGGGGGTCACCACGAGTCGGGGGCCTACTCGACAGTAGCTAACAACAATAATCCTGGCAATGAATTGTTAAACTTTTCTTCTGATAATGCCTTGACTTCTCCTTCATTCCTGAAAAATACCGTTGTTGGATACAGATTTAATGGTTGAAAGTTCTTTTCTTGCAGCACTTGAATAAAGTTTAGTCTCTTCCTTCCGTCCTCCATCTTTTTCTGATGAGAAGTCCACCATGATTTACACTGCTTTTGGCCTATAGATAAGGCACAGTTTCTTTCTTGCTGCTTGGACGATTTTCTGTTGTTGTCTTTAGTTTTCAGAAGTTTGAGTATATTGTATCTTAGTTGGGATTTCTTTGTGTTTATCTTGTTTGGGGTTTGTTCAGTTTCTTGAATTCATGGGTTTGTCTTTTTGCTAAATTTGGGAAGTTTTCAGGCATCATCTCTTCAAATACTTTTTCAGTCTCACTCTCTTTTCTCTCTCTTTCCTACACTCCAATGACACAAATGTTAGATCTTCTGTTATAAGTCGCACAGGTCCCTGAGGCTCTGTTCATTTTTTTTTTTTTAATCTATTTCCTTTCTGATATTCATATTGGGTAATTTCTATTGTGCTACTTTAATTCTTCGGATTCGTCTGTTCCCTCCATTCTGCTGTTAAGCCCATCCATTGAGCTTTTTATTTTGGTTATTGTATTTTTTAGTTTCCTTTTTGGTCTTCTTTATATCTTCTATTTCTTTGCTGATACTTTCTATTTTTAAATTTGTTCATAATTGCTTGTGAAGCATTTTTATGACAGCTGTTTTAAAATCCTTATTAGATAATTCTAATATCTTTGTTATCTCAATGTTGGCATCTATTGATTTTCTTTTCTCATTGAAGTTATCATGTTGCTGGTTCTAGTTTACGAATGATTTTCAATTGAATCATGTATATTTATCATGTGGTGAGATTCTAGATCTTATTTCAATTTCTGCTTTAGGTACTGTCCCTCTGACATGCCTTCTGCAGGGAAGGAAAGCAATGCCTCATTAGTGTCAGGTGGGTTGGAAGTCTAGGTTCTACACTTGGCCTCTAATGACAGCTGGGGAGGCGGGCTTTCTTGTTACTGCTGGGTGAGTATGTGAGTTCTGGCTCTCCACTAGGTTTCTGCTGATAGCATCTTGGCTGGGAGAGACAGAGGTACCTCTTTGTTGCTCCCTACATGCCTTCCACTGAGACTGCAGGGTATGGTCTCATTATTGCTGGGTGGTGGGGAAAGTCCTAACTCTCCACTAGGCTTCCTCTGATATCACTCTAGCAGAGATTTTAAAGATAATAAGATAAGGGGATCAGCTTTTATCAATAGACTGGATGCTGATATTTTTTTTTTAAGTCAAGTAGGTGTTATTGGATTATAAACTTCAAAATTAAAAAAAACATTTATGGTGAAGATCTAGGAACCTTAAGTCCTAATTGCATGGCAACGCTATTTTTATAATTACTACTATTATTATTGTTATTCCTTACAATATATTTTTCAAAGCACTTCCATGTATTTCCAATATAATGTGATACAAATTGAATATTATCTACTAGCAATTATCAAAAGGATGGTAACAATGGAAGTGCAATATTCTGTTTAGAATAATTTATTAGTCAATTTTATTTGGAATCTATTCAAAGGAGCTTACTTAATAAATATCTAATGAACTTCAATAAGAAGCAGCCATCAACAACACAAAACTTAACTTTTGTTTGGGTCTCATGAATGCTACCCCTCTCCTCTCTCCTCCCCAACACACACACACACACACACACACACACACATTCATACCAAATACTGTCTATAATTCAAAGGGTGCACATATCCCTTGAAGCCATGCACAGATCCCAAGTATTCTTTAGAAGTATAAAGGGTTAAGTATATTTATACTTTCACATATATTACAACCTTTTTTTCTTTTTAATTGAGGGCTATGTTTTTGGTATAAATTTAAAATTTTACTTTTGAAACACTTGTATTTCATTCTAGTTTATTTTATTAGTCATGTTAATTTCTTATGTTATTATGTTAAATTACATTGTTAAACTCTACTGCGTTAAAGTATATTGTTCTCATAAGCAATATGCTATTATGACATTTGCTAATTTGAAAGTTTATTTCCAAAAAAGCAGACCAATGAATTGGCACATTTCAGCATGAGCAACCAAATGTATTTTAATGCAAAGTATCATTACAGAGAATCCTTTCCCCAACATTTTAACCTTGGCCCAATATATTCCTTTCCTAGGGCTTCCATAACAAAGTACCACAAATTAGGTGGCTTGAAAGAAGAAATTTAAGCTAGACTAGATGATCTTTAAAGTCTCAAATTATCTGACTTGCTTGTTTCCAACCCCAGAAAACTGATGGTAAACAAACTACACCTTTATCTATAAGCTAGTTATTATACAAAACCAAAGGGAACTTAATCTTTGAAAATGGAAAAATACTAGCTTCCAAAGGAAGAGGAGAAATGTCTCTGTTAATAGCAGAACCCCACAGATTACTATGTTGAGGACACTTGTTTGGGGTTTAGGTGGAGGTGGCAGAAGAGGATTAATTCATTTTCTGGGGATTTTTAACAAAACTTTTTTTTTTCCTTTTTCATTCTTTCCTGTTTGGGAGTTGGATCATTAATTGGAATGTGATTGGCTTTCCCTGGGGAGCAAAGAGGTGATTATCAGAGCTTTTGCTCACTTACTGTTCCTGTGATTTGCCTTAGGAAGACTCCTGATGTTCTTGCCATCCTTCGGCTTCCTTGTGGCTTTCATCCATGTGGCTTTTTGCTTTGTTTGCTTAAGAGCAGGTACTTAGGCAGGGAGGACTGAGTTCTTGCGGTTTATTGGCAGCTTCCTGGTGTGGGATTTGAGTGGCTGTATTTGAATTAATAGGATTATGCTTTTTACAGGTTGAAAATATGTACTCAGTTTGCGTGGGACCTTTTACCCAAATGGAATAATCCTTTGTATCTCGCTTAATTAAAAAAACAAACAAATTTACACAATCAATAATATGATGTATGTTATATATGATGGCAATAATAAAAATAACATTTACTGAGCACTGTAAAAAAAACAAAAAGAAGAAGAAATTTATTGTCTCACAGTTTTGAAGGCTAGTGTAGTCGAAATTCAGGGTGTCAACAGTGCCATGTTCTCTCCAAAAAGTCCAGGGGAAGATTCTTTCTTTTCTTGCTTAGCTTCTGGTAGCCTGTTACTTGCCTTGCAGCTGCAGCATGGCTCATTCATCACACGGCCATCCTCTCTCTGTCTGTCTCTCTTCTCTTTTATAGGATATCGCTCAGAAAGGATTAAGAACCACCCTACTCCAGTATGACCTCACATTAACTTTCCCAACATCTTCAAAGATTCTTTTTTCAAACAAGGTCATGCTCACAGGTACCAGGGATTGGAACTTCAACATAAATTTGGGGGGAACAAAATTCAATGCAGGACAAACAGAGACAAAGGAATTTATTTTCCCCTTGTTACTCTGGAGCCTTTCTTTCTACCATTTTATTTGCTCCTCCCTGAGGAAGAAAAATGGTGATCTAACTGGACAGGGTTTAACATTATTGTTCATAATTTATTGTTGTTGTGTGCCACAGATTCAATTCTGACTCATAGTGACCCTATAGGACAGAGTAGAACTGTCCCATGGGGTTTCGAAGGCTGTAATCTTTACAGAAGCAGATTTAGATATCCTTCTCCTGCGGAGCGGCTGGAGGGTTCGAACTGCCGACCTTTTGGTTAGCAGCTGAGCACTTAACCAACTGCCACCAGGGCTCCTCATAATTTACTAGAACCCAAGATTTCTGTGTTTTAAAACTCACATGAACAACTCCTGCTTCCTTTGGCTCTTCCAGTTTATAAGTAGTAAGCAAAGCAGGCAGGGTTTCCTTAGGCTACCTAAGCCATCCTAGTTCTGTTTCCAACCATAACTAGGTAGTTAAACCCTATTTTCCTTATCCATGCAGCTTGGCCAAGAAGTCTCACACCCTGCTCTATAAGCCTGCATTTGTTTCTTCCTTCAATGTGGCATGTTGAGATTGTAATAGCAAGAACTGGCATTTCAAGCAAAGCACTGCACTGGGGATTGAGGGAGAGAGCTTCAGCATTAGGCAAGCTTCCAAACAGACATTCCTTAAAAACAAGTGCAAGTCATGAGGACTGGTGAAAAAGCTGAGGGAAGATGTTTTAGTAAGTAATACACAGCAGGATGGTTTCTAAGTCTTTGAAAACAAAGGTTTGGGAAGTGCCAAAGTGAGTAAAGAGCTAAGGAAAGCTATAAAGTCAACAGAGAGCCAGAGGCCTCTCCTATTCACTACATGAAAGTAGTTTTTTAAACCATGATATAAAGGCAAGTGGTTGCTCAGTTATAAAATTCTTTACATAAAAGGAAGTACCAGATTGGAAGTACCAGTCTGATTGCCCTTTGAAGTACCTTTCTAACATTCTCAGCACAAGACTGATTACACATAGTAGGTATTGCAGAAAAACTTATCAATTCCAGATATTAAGGTTTGGAGCAGGGAATAGATGTAAAATGACTGAAGAATGTCCCTGAATTATATTAAATGTAAGAAAAGATAAAATCAGAGCCATTCCAATGGTTCAATTTCAACTCAGACTAAACCCTGACAGGAAATTCATATTTCTATGATATTCTAAACCTACTACATACTGCAACAAAGTAAAAAAAGCTTTACTTACTCCAGTGAATTATATTTAGTACTACCTCTAAATGTCTCAAAGTGGTATGAGACAGAGAACATGAAATGAGCATAAAGGATCTAGAGTATCAAAATATAATCTTGATACTCTACAGTATATTCAGGTGAAAGCTGGCTAAAACAAGCAAACTGTTGTCTAGGCAAATGTAGATAACAGTTCCAGTTTTGTTCACCAAGATCTTTTAAATATGACAAAGAGCTCTGCAGGTAGTTTAAAAAATTTTACGTTTTATTCTCTCAGGTTCATAAGCAGCTTAGAAGTCCATGGACTTACTGAAATTACTCTTATGTATTCTAGATATGCCAGTACTATTCTTCAGGATCCTCAGCTTCTATTAATACAATTTTCATATCCTCTTCAACAAAAACAAAAGCAGAAACAAACAAACCAACAACAACTAAAACAATGCACTCACCAGCTCCACTGATTATGTCAGGTTTGGTCTTCATCATTTTGCAAAACTGTCTTCGGTAGTTTTCTATCCACTCAGTTTGTTTATCAGTAATTTTGAAGCATAATAAAAGCTTGCTAAGATCATTATCTAATGAAGAAATACAGTATGTTATATTATTATAAATGGACATGCCAAGTACATTCAAAAACGTCTTAATGTTAAGTGTGTTAACGGTTATAAATCCCAGAAAAAGTAGAGTGTATCGCTTTCAAAGGAAAACATATTTTTCTGTAATTACATTTTGTATCTTCAATTGCTATTTGCCACATTTATTAAAGGCTCATAAAATAGATTATTGATTTAATAAAATGTATTATTAATTTTTAACCATAATTCTTGAACATTCTTTTTCTTGTATGAATATGACCCATTACTGAGAATCTGGTATAAGAAACAATGTGGACCTTAAGATTTTTTTTTTTTTTAATATTTTATTGTGTTTTAGGTGAAAGGTTAGGCTCCCATTTAATAATTTTTATACACATTGTTCTGTGACATTGGTTACAATTTTCACAATGTGTCAGCATTCTCATATTTCCATTCTATTTGTTCTGTTTCCATTGATCCAGCTTCCCCTCCCCTCCTTACCTTCTCATCTTTGCTTTTGGGTAAATGTTGACCGTTTCATCTCATATTGTTGATTGTTTAAGGTACACATTACTCATGGCTGACACTGTTCATTTTATAAGCCAATCTATTACTTGGCTGAAAGGTGACCTCCAAGAGTAGCTTCAGTGCCAAGTTCATAGGGTATCATAGCAATAGTCTTGGGGGTTCCTCTAGTCTCTATCAGTCCAGTAGGTCTGGCCCTTTTTAGGAATTTGAATTTTGTTGTACATTTTTCTCCCATTGGTCAGAACGATTGGTAGTGGTAGACAGGCACCATCTAGTTCTTCTGGTCTCAGAGTGGGAGAGGCCATGGTTTGTGTGGGCTATTAGTCCTATGGACTAGTTTCTTCTTTGAGTCTTTGGTTTCTTTCATTTTCCTTTGCTCCAGATGAGTAGAGACCAATAGTTGCATCTTAGATAACTGCTCACAAGCTTTTAAGAGCCCAGACGCTACTCACCAAACTAGGATGTAGGACATTATCTTTATGAACTATATCATGCCAATTGACTAAGCTGTCCAATGAGACTATGGTCTAAGCCTTTTAGCCCAGTAAAACAATCCCATGAGTTTTCTGGATATGTCTAGGAAGTCTCTGTAACTGTGTTCCCTATGTTCTTTATTATATATATGAATATATATGTAGCACACACAAATACGTATATACATATGCCTACAGATACACCTATACATGCATGTGCACATACTCATATATGCCTTCCTATACACATATATGCTACATATTTAAATATGCAACCACATATATTTTTGGTTGTTATTACTGCTGTTGCAAATTTATATATGTTATAGCACTGACTGAAAATGTCCCTTTTTCTTATGTACTTCTTAGAGTCTTCATTTACCTTGGTCAAGTTAGCAGACACCACCCATATTTGGTGTTGTCTTTCCCATAAGCAAAAATAACAAGCGTCTACTGTCTATAAAGCAATTCCTCCTCACTGCCCCACCCATCCCTGGTAACCATCAAAGAATGTTGCTTTCTGTGTATATATCTATTCTGCACTATTTATAATAGTAGCACCATATAGTATTTGTCCTTTTGTGATTGACTTACTTCATTCAGCATAATGTCCTCCAGATTCATCCATGTTATAAGATGTTTCACAGACTCCTCACTATTTTTTATAGTTGCATAGCATTCCATCGTATATATGTACTACAATTTGGTTATCCATTCATCAGTTGACAGGCACTTAGGTTGTTGCCATCTTTTTGCTATTGTGAATAATGCTGCGATGAATACAGGTGTGCATATGTCTATTTGTGTCACTGCTCTTCTATCTCTTGGATATATACCTAGGACTAGGATTGCTGGATCATAAAGTACTTCTATTTCTAGCTTTTTGAGGATGCATCATACTATTTGATAGTGGTTGTACCATTTTACAATCCCACCAGCAGTGTATAAGAGTGTCAACCTCCCCACAACCTCACCAGAATTTGCTGTTTTCTGGTCTTCTGTTCACTGCCATTTTTGCAGGGGTGAGATGGTGTGATGGTTAAGACTGTGTGTCAACTTGGCTGGGCCATGATTCTCAGTGTTTATATGTGATCACTCCCAAGATTGAATATGCTGTGAGTAGTCAATCAGTGGAAGGGGAGTTTCCTTGGCGGTGTGGCCTGCATCCAAATATAAGCAGACGTTCTGGCTTTTTGCTCTCTAGATCCTGTGGCTGCCTCCTGTCATCTCACCTCCGGTTCTTGGGATTTAAGCTGTCAGCTTGCCTGCCAAACTTGGGATTCATTGATCTTCATAGCCTGTGAGCAGAGCCCTGCTCTCTGACCTGCCAATCTGAGGTTCGCCAGCCCCTGCAGCTACATGAGTCAGAAGAAACCTTGTGGTCTTGCCTGCCGATCTTGGAATTTGTCAACCTTCACAGCCTGTGAGTGGGAGCCCTGCTCTCCGACCTGCCGATCTTTGGCTTGCCAGCTTCCGCTGCTGCGTGAATTGGGAGAGGCCTCTACCCTGATCCATGGACTTGGGATGCTTTAGCCTCTACAATTGTGTGAGCTGTTTCCTTGATATAAGTCTCTCTCTATATATATTTATATGCTTTACTGGTTTTGCTTCTCTAGAGAATCCAGCCTAAGACAGATGGTATATCTCACTGTCATTTTGATTTGCATCTCTGGACCTTAAAAGATTTCATTACATAGACTGACATGAATAGAATATTAGACTCACTCTTTTTGTACATTTAGGTGTAATTTTATTTATTTAAATCTCTAGACAATTATTTCCTCTTCTTAAAAAAAATCATACTAAAATTACTAATGATGATAAGAGTATTTATGCCTAAAAACTGACTTTTCTTTTTTCTAATTTCATGAATACAAACTAGCTTCACTTAAATCACGTAGTTTTAAAGCTACGTATTCCCATGAAATTGCTTATAAAAAGAAAATCAATGGGCAATATATTAAATGAGTGTTATGTGTCACAAAAAAGGTCATAAGTACATGTATACACAGAGACATAAAATATTATTACACATGTGGTAAAAATTCAAGGAGACAAAAAGGAAGCAAAGACATTTGCTTATTTTCTAGAAGAGTGTATGTTCAGCTCAGTAGTCACATAAACCTGTACCCTTTTCCTTATTACTTTTCTTGAAGGAGATTTTGGTGGTCAAGTACCTTCTGATATTACATAATCAAAGGCCTGATTGTGTTTCTTCAAAATGTAAATTGGGAATACTATTACTACAAAAAGCATGTATCTAAGCTCTACTTAGGGTTGGTAAAGGGTTGTATCTGAGGGGACAATTTTGGTTTAGACTCTTTACCTGAATTACAGCAGGAAAACACCAGCAGTCAACCTGCTACTAAAGAGGGTTTCAATCAGATCTTTCTTAAAACAAATAAAATTCAAATAAAGAAAACAAGCACTTATTCTTATAGGTTTTATAAATTAAATACTCTTTCTACCATAACACAGCTTTGTTATTTCATTTTTGTTTACAATCTTTGTAAAAATTCATTCAATAAATATGTATAGGTCACTGCCCTAGTAAAACTTACATGACATAAAAAGTATATATACACAGAGATTATAATAATAGTGTAGTCAGTGTATATATTAATCCTATTATTTAAATTTTAGTTTTTTTAGCCCTAAAAACACAGATATGTATGCTCACACACTCATCATGATTATTATATAAAATCTATATTATATTACATTATACACACACACATATACATATATATACTTAAAATCATAATTTTTGTATATATTTTCCTATTTGACATTTAGGAGACAAAAAAGCTTTCTTACATCAAAGCTAACACATTTGCTCTCATACAAACACATGAATACGCATATGCCAAACATGCAATTACACAAATATACACATAAACCCAAAAGAATTGTATTATTGAAGGAACTTGTAACGCTGATATTCAGTACTAAGCTAATATATTCCATTTGAATATCAGGAGAGAATTATACAGGAACATTTCACAAATAGCACCAATGAGAAACAATAACTAGAGAAAAATTAAGCTGATTAAAAGAGAAAATAATTTTAACAATAAAATCCCTCAAAACCTTTAAACTAAAGTCAAGAAATATCAACAAAGCTGATAATTTTGTTGAAAATTTTAAGTTATTTTTAAAAGTTTTAACACATGTATCTTGATATCAATTAGGTAAAAGATTTAATTCAACAGTACTGAAATTGAATTTTTATTGTTTCCATTTATAGTATCTTCCCAAGAATGAACTACCTAGAACCTAATAAGAGTCATTAGTGGCATATGATTTCAAATGCAAATGCAGTTGTGCTTTTTTTTTTTTTTAAACTTTGTTTCTTCTCTATTTCTTCCCTTCTACTTGTCTTTTATAACCACTCTATTGCCTTCAAACAGGGGATGTCTATCCACACAGCTCTTTCATAAGTTACGTGTTATTAATAAATCCTATGTTATCCTTTCCCTCTTACCTCCTGCTCCATACCCTCCTCTCACTTTCCTGTCTCTTGTCTTTCAGATTATTCTGTTTCACTTTCTTATCATCTCATTCTAAGGAAAACAACACCAGATGCTAAAATTAGAAATAAATTGAAGCTGCAGATGTGGTATGCACTTGAATCTACCAGTTGGGATGAAGGGCCCAGTATAGATACCTGGAAACTGGATTTGAGCCAATACAGAAATGCTGGCCTAGAAATAGGTCTTCATGAGTCACAGTCAATTCAAAGGCAACTTGTGGTTAAAAGATTCTTAGACAGACAGCTATGTATCCTTTTACAATTCTGATTACTGTTCTCCCAAGCCATCAATTACAGTGCATACTTTTCAATTTGTATTCCTCTAGGCTAAAAATATTTAGAGATTTAACACACTATTAGTGAAAAACATGTATATCTGTTAATATTGTTGGGTTTGAGGGGCCTAATGCACAATTCCTTTATTTCTTCCTCTAAATTTGGGACCACTGAGAAGTAGATAGGAATAG